GCAGCATCAGCTACCATTGCAGCTCAACTGCAAGAATCGTACCGCTGAGCATCGCTGCAAGCAATCAGTACCGTGCAGCTCACTGAGCTGCAGCATCACTGCAGCATCACTGCGCATTCAGCTACCACATTGCTGAAAGTATCTGAGTTTGCTAATTGAGCGGACGGGCACCCAGAGTGAATTTGCTTGGTGGTCGCAATGCTGAGTGAACTTGACACCGAAAGTGTTATCATAACCTTCGTGTTGAGTGTCTCGCGCGCTGCTCACTGCTTATTTGCCGTTTCATGCCAAATAGTCGCGGCGGCTTTCCCCATGGCTCTGATGCGTTTTTAGATTAATTTCCTTGGTAAAGCTTTGCTAAAACGACACCGGGTTGTGTTCGATTGGCATTCAGTGACACAGGCGGTTTTTCGAACTGATGGTGCTGCCACGGCTTGTTATTCAGGACTTGGACGATATCTTATCTTCATCTTGCGTTGATTTGCTGCCATGAGCATTCTGTCGTGGTTGTGGGTGGGGGTTGCAGGCTGGTAGTGGGGGAGGGGGCCGAAGTGGGGGAGTTTGTTGTCTTTGTTCTCCTGTATAACACTCTTATTATCTCTGCACATGTCGTTTGCCGTGGGCGTAGGCGCGTGTGGAGACGGGTGGGGTGGGCGAATCCTACTGGCTGTTTTCAGGTTCTGTGGTTTCTTGCCACTCGTTGTTGTTGTTCCTATACTGTGCACTTTGCGTGATCGTGTGTCCCTGTTTTATATATATTGTTAACAAAGGATGGGAAGTGACGTCACCAGTAAGCATGTGGAGCAGAGATTTTAGAACTACGCATGATTTTACATTGCATTGGGGGGTTTGAATTTGTTGTTCATTGTTGTTTTTTATTATCAGGAGCCTGTTCAGAGGAAGGAACTAGTGACTGTTCGCTCGTGAATGAGTGGTGTATCGCTAACAAAGTAATTCTGTTGGAGAATTTCTGAGATCCAAGGTCAGCTGCGTCGATTTTTTGATCAGTAAAACGTTCATCATTGCTGTGCCGCAACATTAATAAAATGTTTCAGCACTGCGCGATGTTTTGTTCGGTTACAGGTCTCTAACCATAGTAGTGAAAGAGAGGTTTCGTTATGTCTTTGCTTCTGCGCATATTGCCCGCTGCATTGTTGCTGTTTCACATGCGTAGGGTGCTATGCAGAATTACCTTACTTCTAATTGGGCATACGTACGTTCGATACCCGTATTAAGTGTGTGTATCTTGTGTTATAACCTCCTATTACGTTATCAGTCTGTAGTGTTTGCTGATATGTGTACATATTCCAAGCTCTTGCTCTATATGTCCTTGGTAGGGAAAGTACGGATTTTAGTTCGAACAAAGTTGGCTGACACCCGTAATTATTTATATTTGCATTCTCGAGCCGCCATCTAGTGAGTGAGTAGGGCACTCGCTGGGCATACGTTATATGCCATATTAGTATCATTTTGGATATCACTAATTGTGAAATCGATCAGTGAAGAATCGCGACTCTTAAGTAAATACTTATCATGGTTAATGTGATGATACGATCATATATACGAGAGTAGAATGCCTTTTTTGAGTAGTTTATTTATAAACTCGTGTTTGGCTGTAAACACGGGTGAGTTGGTCGTACATATGCCCTAACGATATTTGCTGCGACGCTTTCCGTAGTAGCGTACTGACGTAACCACATAATATACGCCTGTACCATATTTACAATAGAAGGTGTGTAGCAGTGCTCATTTATTAGTACTTGCAAACGAGTATCTGGTTTTAATAGTCGGTATGTGATTTATTTTTTGTATATCATATACATTGGGCGTTGTTAATGTTTTGGCCAGCTTAAATTTGGTCAAGAATTCGTTGTTCCATCACTTCTCGTATGTTTGTGGGAAATAGGGAAATACAGCCATAGCTGCATACATAGCGTGGTCATCTCATTGTGCAATTTCCATAAAGTGGCCTTTATAGCAGGTGCCGTTTTATAGAGGTGGTTTCGCTGCAATTAGCGGCCACTTCAGAGAACGCAAAAGTGTTCTTTTAAGCGAAGTGTCGTCTTATAATATGGTCTCTCTCTCGTTTGCTCCGCCTCTCTCACTCTTCCAATGTCTTTTGCGACTTAGATTTTGCAAAGATAGATTGTAAGAGTCTATATATGTCTCAAAGATGGCGTTACAGTCAATGTACGAGCTGATCCACAGCGTGCATTCAGCAGTTTAGGCTTTGTAATATTGACGATTCAGGAATTGAATTTGTGCTTACAGAATGATAAGATGATTTTTTTATGGCGCACAATGATTTAAGAACGTCGAGTTAGCAAGCCAGATGATGATCACCCCAACGATGATTTATTTAGATAACAATATTTAGGGAAATGTACGTCTCTCATTTCAGTAAGAGGAAAGATGGCAAAGCAGATCGGTGGTTTCATGAATCGATCTGGATAGTTTTCTGCGATAGCCCCACCGTTTAGTGAGATAATAACGCAGGGAAGGTGTCGCGCCGCTTAGATTGTTGTCTGTCAGCGGCGCCTCACAAGGTCTATGTCCCCCAGGGTACTTATCGACGTGTAACCTGGTACGGGTCGGATATACCGGGAACGGGACCCTGGTAACTATCTGATATGTCTAGGTTAGGAGTAGGCGTCAGGCGACTCCCTAGCACTCGTTAGCTGGAGTTAGGCGACGGTACAGGTCGGCATTATTAGATCAGTACCAGCGGTACGTTCGATACTATCGACACCGCTACCCAGAGTTAGGCCTACCCTCCGATAGTACCCTGGGGGGACATAGACCCTTCTCACGGTCAGCGGCCCCAGTGGAACAGACTAAGGTCATATTTCTCGAGCCTCAGTACGCTGGTTTCCACCTGTAATTATGTTATTATTTATTTGTGTTGTCAGTATGTTGCACGACTCCGTGTGGCTTAAAATTATATGTCAGCGCAGTTTTCTCCGATCTTCGTCCGGTCGCCTTGACAACCGCAAACATTACGCTGTAACAATACTTTGCAATCACCAACCGATCGCTGTGAGGCGCATATATTTAATATATGTAGATTGCTTGTATCTGTATATGTATATGTAAATTATATATAAGTATATCTACTATCAACCCACAGTTTTGCGAGGGTTGCGGTCGTTGTTTGAGTATTATGATTCACAGATAATGCGTCTGCAATTGATCCGTGATAACAGAGGATGCGCGATGATAAGAGTGATGAGTGTCTACCAACACCGGCTCATCGCACTGAAAGGCTTGACGCTTCTTTGTTTTGCCTGAGTCGCGGGAGCTGTTCTCAGTCGTAGATGTAGATACATATAGTATCTACATCCATATACCATCATGTAGTATAGGCCAAAATCGCTGTCATCGTACGTGTAATCATGTAATAAAACGCAGTCAGTCTTAGCGCTCGTCGCCCGTGTTGCAGCGTTTCGTTAAGCCCCGGAATCTTCGCTCTGGCCTAAGAAAAAGAAAAAAAGGGCGCGCACTGGAGAACTTCTGTGCGTTCACTGATTACTATTAAATTTTACACGACCTACTCTACACAATTTATATGACAAAATTATGGCAAAATACCGATGTTCGAAGACTTTAACTCGCTATAGCGATATCTGTCGGAATATATGATAAGGAATATATATCTTGTACCTCGAAGTATATCTATCTCCTGATTTAGGTTTATGTTATTCGATACGGGTTGTCGATGTCATTCGGTTCATCCAGCGCTCGTTTACGCACATCATTCAGTCGTTCCAACTGTAGGTGGCAGCACGCGATTAAGCGGCGAAGACAGTCCGGCCGCTTTGGACGAGGCGGCGTTGTAAACGCAGTAGCAGCAGCAGCACCACACCACCACCAACTGCAGTAGTAGTAGTAGGGGCAGCAACACTAGCACACCACCGCCACACAAGCAGCAGCAGCTGCAGCAGCAGTAGTAGTAGTAGTAGGTAGTAGTAGCTAGTAGTAGTAGCAGCAGCGCAGCAGCGCAGCCACGCAGCAGGCAGCACGCAGCAGCAGCAGCAGAGCAGCAACAGTAGTAGTAGTAGTAGTAGTAGTATCAGCAGCCATAGAGGCAGCAGCAGTAGGAAACAGCAATAGCAAGCAGTAGGCAGCAAGGCAAACCAACGATGAGCAGGCAGTTAGCAGGCAGGAAGGCCAACATCAATAGCAGCAGTAGCAGCGCAGTAACAGCCAAGGCAGCAGCAACAACAGACCAGCAGTAGTAGTAGTATAGCGGCAGCATCACCAAGTAGCACAACAGCAACAGCCAGCAGGTTAGGCAGCAGCAGCACAGCAATAGCAGAGCAGGCAGCAACGCAATGCAGCAGCAGCAGCAAGCCAAGTAGCAGTAGAGTAGCAGTAGTACGCCAGGCAGGCAGCAGTAGCCAGTAGCAGCACAGCAGGGCACGTAGCGCAGCGCAGCAGCAGCCAGCAGCAGCATAGCAGCAGTAGCAGCACTACCCAACCACCCACCACACCAGCAGCAGCAGCACAGCAGCAGCAGCAGCAGCAGCGAGCACGCCAGCATTTGCGCAGGGAACACCTGGCCTACTACTGCTGCTAGAAGCTGCCATCTCGAGAGTCACATCGTGGCACATCGCAGAACTCCGCGCCTCTCCCTCTCCCTCTCCCTCTCACACTCACAGTCTCACGCACACTCGTGCTCGTGCTCGCTGGCGCGCTCGACGCTTCGCCCCTTCTCTCTCATTCACTGGGAGCAGCAGGCGCGCGCGCGTGCGTGTGTGAGTGAGAGGGATCGAGCAGACGCCGGGTGTATACCTACCTACCTACCCTACCCTACTACCTACCTACGGTACCCTACCTATGTCCTACCTACCCGTGACACCACCGCGATGTCTTTTCTACACCACGCTTCCGTAGCCACCGTGAGCTTACACACACACACACACACACACACACACACACACACACACACACACACACACACACACACACACACACACACACACACACACACACCACTCCCACACACCCCCCTCCCCCACACACACACACACGCACGGACCATGGACACGATCGTGAAGTCGGCAATGTCCGGCGCTGAACCGCCGCCGTCGCCGCAGCCGCCGCCATCGCCCGTCGACGGGTCCGGCGGCAGTCCGCACCGCATCAAGAAAGGCGGCCGCTTCGACTTCGACGATGGAGGCACGTACTGCGGCGGCTGGGACGACGGCAAGGCGCACGGACACGGCGTCTGCACGGGGCCGAAGAATATCGGAGAGTACTCCGGATCGTGGACGTTCGGCTTCGAGGTGTCCGGCATGTACGTATGGCCGAACAGCGACACGTTCGAAGGTCAGTGGGACAACGGCAAGCGGCACGGGCTCGGCGTCGAGCACAAGGGCAACTGGACGTACGAGGGCGAGTGGACGCAGGGCTACAAGGGCCGCTACGGCATACGGCGCAGCTCGTCGGGGGCGAAGTACGAAGGCACGTGGGTGAACGGACTGCAGGATGGGTACGGCACGGAGACGTACGTCGATGGAGGTACGTAACGCGGTGTACGACGCATCATGTGTGTGTGTGTGTGTGTGTGTGTGTGTGTGTGTGTGTGTGTGTGTGTGTGTGT